GCGTCATAAGCTTCGAGCTTCAACCGAATACCTGATCACGACCACAACACTGCAACCAAGATGTTCGCACGACGCATTCTAAAGCCCAGCTCTCTGAGCCCCCAATCTACCCTTCTTCGCTCATTTACTACCACCGCATCTCTGTCCCGTACCCCAGCGTTGTCCGATGTTACCCCAGAAGGAGTCAAATCTTTCGATGCAAAGCAGAAAGAGTTCCGAGAGCGAATGGCAGATGAGTTCAAGAAGAAAGAAGCAAGCGCAAGTCAGTTAGAAGATACAAGCTCCCTTGATCCCCTCTTCCCCATCCCTCCCACTGCTCCAAATGTGAGCAATGCGAGATCATCATCTAACCATTCATCCACGGAGGCAGTCGGCTCACAAGCAACGTCTTCTACAGAAATCGAAGAAGAAGATTCAAAGCGAAAGGGAAAGCTAAGCAGCTTAATCTATGGCACAAAGGAAGGGCGGCAGATGGATCGCGAAATCGAACACTCATTTTCACAAGTCCTGGCTAGAGGGAAGTACGTCCACAGTATTGTATTTCACGAAGTCAAGCCAGATAAGGTAGATGAATACATCGATTTGGTTGGAAAATGGTATCCTCGCATGGCGGGTATGCCAGAGAACAAAGTGCATTTGGTAGGAAGCTGGAGGACCGAAGTTGGTGATTGCGATACATTTGGTATGTGTTAAGATTCCCCTCTTTCTGCGATAAGAACTGAACAAAAGCAAGTTCATATCTGGGAGTATCAGCGATATCACGGATACCATGATTCACTACACAGCATTGCAAACCACCCCGAATTCCCTGCTTTCGACAAGAAGCTCAAATCTCTTATAAACTCCAAACACCTCTCATTGATGCAAGAATTCTCCTTCTGGCCAACTACGGCACCTCGTCAGCTTGGCGGTGTTTTCGAATTACGTTCTTACACTCTACATCCTGGTAATTTGCTGGAATGGGAAACGCACTGGAGACGTGGCTTGGGAGCTAGAAGACAAGTTATGGAGGGCGTTGGAGCATGGTTCGTGCAAATTGGAGAATTGAATACGGTCCATCATCTCTGGCAATTCGCAGATCTAGAGGAGCGAAAAGTACGAAGAGAGCAAAGCTGGAGTGTTGAAGGATGGGGAGATACAGTGCACAAGACAGTTCCATTGATTCAGAGCATGCAGAGTAGGATCTTGGTTCCAATGCCATGGTCACCAGTTGCATAGATTAGAGGTTACCTATGCAGGTCAGAGGTACTGGTACATGGCTGAAGAGCCACTATGGGGATGGAAATAGCAATGAGCAATTTGTGCAATAGTTGTGGGATACAAGGTATGACACGATCAAATAGGAAAGAGGGATGTGTGTACGTTACAGTCAACAATTATTCCACTGCATTCGGCAGATCGGAAGCAATTTCATAGCAATACCATTGAGTTAAAGGTACTTATAGTCCATTCGCACAACTTTTGTGTTCCCGCATCTTTCCAGTGGAAATTTGCTTGTACATGAAGATAGCGGATCCTCTTTCTAGGTCACTACTGCTGCCTCGGTGCTTTTCTCACATTACGAAATTCACACTATCCTTTATCCAATATAATAACAGCAAATATTATCTACATAAGAGGTATACGCTAGTAGATAATTACAATAATAGTCAGTGGGTAGTCGTATTTCCAATTTCACTTTGACGAATACCCTCCTAACCGTCTTGCCACCAAGACTGCAATACCTCGTCTAGTTCCCAAGCACGAGACAACTGATATCAACACCAGCTCGTCAACAGTATCAATATTCTCCACTATCTAATCATTCTCGTTATTAGGACGGCATAAACCCAAAAAAAAAAAAAAAAAAAAAGAGCTCCGTTCCACTTCAGGAAGCTGTTGACGGTGTGGTTGGCGGGTGCGTAACTGGGAAAAGGTTTCCATATCCTAGAACGCAACAGAGGATTTCGCCATATGCTGTAATTCATATTTCAATAACCCAAGTACAATTTCTTATCTATCCACCCTTTCTCAATATTTATTCTCGAGTTTAAGCCAAATCTCGAAGATTCTCACGGTCCTGTATTCACCTTTTGGTAGGGGGCTGTGATTCCTTTCTGAAATACTTACTTGCTTTCTCCTTTGATCTAGGCATGCTGAGCTGAACATATAAAGTATCTATCGGTCGACCTTAAAGTTGAATATAAATTAAGTACATTCAATAAAAGGAGTTAGAATGATGTAGGCCATGATGATCTAGGAAGATGCTACTTTAATGTGTAGCCTATAGGAATCATACCTGAATCACTCCTTTGTTCATGCTGCCTAAAATTTGATCGCCGTGTGGTGGCTTTAGAACTCTTCACCATACACCTCTCGATGCAGCTGCTACTAAGACGGGATCCAATGATATACGTAATAATCCCGTTCAAAGTTCTAGGCCTTCTCTTGGAAGACTCTAGTTATTTAACCATGGGCATCCTACATGTGTTCGTCTTGTAAAAGAAGAGGGAAAACAGACAGCCGCAGTACTTGCCTTTATATCGGAAATAACTGTCGGAGAGTACCCAAGTTGCTTCATCGAATTATTTGTGCTCTTTCATGGCTAGTGGTACACTTCAAGGAGATAGATACCTTAATATCGCTGGCATATTTACTGGTTCCTTTCTACATGGCACCTATTATTGTAATTATTACTAATTTGAGTCTCGTCGAAGCATCACCGGATTTACGATACTGTTTAGATATTGACAGTAGAGGTATAATAGAATTTGTAACAGCTCTACAACAAAATTTGCTGGGACTATCCCGCTTACTAGATGCCCTTAATTTTGTATGCCCCCAATCACTCGATCTAGGATAGTTATCCTCTGCTTGCTCAGCGATTCTTTGTTTCCAATCACGTTAGGGGTGCTTTTTGGCCTTCGATTCTTACGGGTATGTCCATAAAGCAACAAATCTTTCCCTTTGGGGGGGGTCCCGACGGTGGGGATTCCTTTTAAGATTTGGGGTAACTTCTAACAGGTCTTTGTTCCTCTGTAATAACCCTGTCAACTACCAAGTCTTAATGTGAGTTTACTCGATGTGTTGATCTCATGTGGGCATCAGTTTCCAGGCAGTCCCTTCATATATGAGTACGTATAAAGGATGGTCATAGTGATGAGTATTCAGCAACAGCATCTCAAATTCTTGATTTTTTTTGGTTGGGGTCCAGAAGCATAGTATCTGTTGACAAGTGGTGGGACTGTGCTTATCTACTACATAAATATATTCCAAAAAGAAGGGCAGCTCGCTTAAATCCAAACTCGCGGTTGCCAATAATCAAATCCGAAACTAGGTTGTATTAGTGTAATGTATTATATTAGTGAGAGGTATATAAATTTACGGTCATTTGTAGCGGCATCTAGAAATCAACGGCGAAAACATGAAACAGATCCGATGAGAGGGTGGGTGATATGCTTAGTGCTAATTTTGGCCTAGCTACAAAATACAGTTGTGTAAAAGATCCAAGTTATTCTGCTAATTTTGAAAAGATCAAACAACTTCCTTTAACCTAACTAGAGCTAGATACGCAATTAATCGCATCTTGAACATTACTGTCAGCTCAGCTCATACTGTCAAGTTCTACTAATGTGATAAGCTTCCATTTTATCAAGAAATGGTTTCTCCTGCATAATTTCTTCAGAGATTGAAAAGAAAAATCTTGCTGTATTTGAGAGGCCTTGTACTTGCCAATTTTTGTCTAGTTAGGGAAAAGACAACCCCAAGAGGAAGACTGGCCCTTGATAGACGAATTTTTAAATTTCGAATCACATCATGTTGAAGTGGGGATTAGATTTAGCCCCCGGGGCCTTGTATTTTGTGTGGTGAGACCTATAAGAGAGTGTCAGCAGTGCAGAATGATCAAAAATATATGACACAGAAACCCCTTGAACTTTAGCGATTCTTGAATCGAGCTAAGAAAGCATGAAGAGCTGGCTTCTGAGCTCTCCGCAGATGCCGCAAAGTGCAACATTGTCGAAATGTTTGGCCTGCATCTTTTCTAAATCGCCTCAGGTTTCGTCAGACTTTGCTTCGTGTTGTTAGAGAGAGTAAGAGATACTAATAAGGTTAGCATCCGCTTCTTTCATCCTGAGGACTAAATACAAAGAGAAGAATATATATTGGGATGTTATTGACGGAGATGAAGTGATGTAAGCCGGACGCGAAATAGTGAAGGATATGACCTGATTAAAGTTTAGATGAGAGGGATATGTAGAGGTTCTACGCCTGAGGTATGGTGTACATCCTATTACTTTTGGTTTTTTTGCCTACGACTCTCAAAGTTCACTCAATGCAAGGAAACAGAGCATAAAGAGGTTGATAAATTGAAGAGTTGAAGAGCTATAAAAGAATCCTAACCTTAACACTGTAACGACCCTAGGGGATCTGAATGAAGAACGTATTTCAGAGATGCAAGCGTGGAAAAGCTTACCCCAGTATGATCCAGGTGTTTGTTTTGACAAGTGACACGTTACGAGTTCTTGGGAAAGGAGGGCACAGGGCGTTCAACAAGACCCTCAAAAGTTAGGAGATTGTTCTGGAGGAAATGAAAGGCCAGTTAAGGATACCACCGGATCTCTTCAAGTGAATGAATGATACGTTCTGCTTCGATTTCTCAATTAAAAACAACAAGAAATTGGTAGAAGGAATCAGACATGTTTGTACAGCTACCCGAGTGCGTCATAATAAAACAGGTATTAATTGGGAGGTTTGAGACCATGCACCTTCTTCTCTTGATTGCAATGGCTTTATAGATTTCTACTTTGTTGAGCAGGAAACCCTTTTTAGGCAAGGGGAAGCGAATCCGTTTGCACCTGCAGTACTTGTTTAGATGTCATTAAATAACCACATTTTGAATACCCACAAACTAAATATTAGTAAAATCATTGACCATAAGCACCTAGAACTAGGCTTAAAGTATTCAAATACAAAAATCAATACCACAGTCCCGGAAAATAGCAGATACGTCAAAACAAGATTGCGTGGTATGGGGTTCGAACCCATGTCTCCTGCTGGGTACCCATTCTACGTTTGTTGGAATTAAGGTGGGAAGCAGACCAGTTAACCACTACTACAACCACACTGAGTTGGACAATTTTGGAATAGCTGCGTACTATTTCACATTATATTATGAACTGAAGGGAAGGGAGTAGTTGCTCTCGTTATCTCCGATGTCTAGCCGAGGAAGTCTAGTCTCACTAAGGAATAGCGTGCTAAGCCTCGGATGCGATAGCCTATGCAGATGGATAAGAAATGTGAAAACGAACACACTGAATAGAATATTTCAAAATAAGCAAACACCGTGGGTACGCGAACGATATGTTTAGAGACGACGAGAGGGCTCCAATGTCTGCGAGCGAATACACAATCGACGCTATGGAAGAACCAATCAATAACGAACAAATCCGCTACGTAAACGACGACTTGGATGATGTATTTGGCTCTGCACCATCATCTCCCTCATTTGAAAATAACGGCGGCACAAATAATCGCAATAACGGCAACGCGGAAGTATCGGATGTTCCTCGACTAAAGGAGAAACACGAAAAAGAAGGATACAGAGATGGGGTTACGAACGGCAAGGCGCAGACAGTACAAGTTGGATTTGATGAAGGGTATGGACTCGGTGCTGTGCTGGGGTTGAAGATTGGGAAGATCTTGGGGTTGTTGGAGGGCATATGCAACGCTTTAGGCGTTGGCATGAAGAGTCATGAAGGCGAGATCTTTGTTGGTGAGAAGGAGAGGTTGGACAAGTTGTTCGCGATGGCGAGGTCGGAGCTGAAAACTCAGAGTGTATTTGGGAGGGACTGGTGGGGCGAAGACGGCATATGGAAGTTTGAAGTTCCTGGCGAAGGCGTGGAAGGAAAGGAGGTAACATTTCTAGATGTTGCAAGTGCGCATCCTTTAGTAGTGAAGTGGGATCGAATCATTGAGGACGAGGTTGCGAAATGGAGGCTGGATCTGCGGATAATGGAACAGCAAGAGCCTGCCAATATCGAGCATGCTACACCTGTCGAGCAAGCAGACAGAGTGAGCCCAGCTGGAGCCCAGAAAGAACAGTTCAGCTGGTGATGGCCGATCTTCTGTGTTGTTGGAACACCAGCGCAGCAATTCTCCGGGCTGGCAGTGCATTTCCAAATATTTGTTGGTGGGTACATCTCGTATTGACCCGCCAGAAGGGACCCCCTAACAGAACCCCCTCCAATCCAAGCTTCACCAGAAGAACGCTTGTTTCAAGGGCCAAAAGCTTCTTTGGCCAACTGAGCATCACCTCGGAAGCATTTTGCCGGGGTCTTTATGTCACTAAGGGCTTGCAAGAGAAGTTGCGCCATCCAATCTCGAATCTGACGATGAAATGGTGGGGAGACCTTGGAAAACCGTGGTTGAGTTGTGTAAGGTTGCATCTCGGGGTCGCACTTCAGGTACGCGATGATCAGCGGTGCAGCAACTCGTCAATCTAATTTTTGACATCCGAAATCCCTCTTTACGCAGTCAAGCTTTGTAGCGCCCGTTTTGCGTCGCCTGCCTCGCAGCAGGCTGCTGAGACATTGAACGGTTGGGTCCTGGGAAGAACCCTTCAATTCCTCATTTGTTCGCCTCCCCAATGATATGCTTTAAATGATATTCGAATGATAAGTCACTGCCAACTTTATTCTGTGGGGTTTCTCACGACTCGCGGATCTCAATACGAAGTCGGCATCTAAGGGATCAAGATCTTCCCCCGTCCGGCTCTTTAACCCGGAACTGCAAGCATGCTGACCGCATCGTTGCTTGTCCAACCCCCTTTCTGTCCTCGAGGCGAGTTGACCTGGTACAGCACACCGCCCCACCCTCCAGAAGTTCCGTTTCGAGCCACCAACCATACGCTGTTGAGCGACCAGGCGGCTGGTTCGAAATTGAATATTCCTAATTAATCCCAAAATGGCCCAGAAAGGATCAAAGCACGTACATCATTCTATAGACGGTGACATGATAGATTTAAGGTGCATCACGATGTGTCAAGCGGGGCAGCAGTCATCATGCCTGCCACTTATCCACCGCGCCTTCCATGTCTTGGAATCGGTTTGCACCTTCCTCCCGAGGCGCGAGGGCAACACATTTCAACCTCTTCCCCCCAGCCATTCTCTTCCTGTCTCTTCTTCCACAATACGTCCTAAGTATCCTTTAATTCTCCCTTCTTTGTGAGGCTCCAACTATTCAGTTGGGTCTTACAGTCCATTCGTTAACCTATAACCTCATCTCTTGTCCCGGAAACAGTATTCCTGCTGCAGAACGATTTCCGGCTTCCGACTCTCCCTTTGTACCCTTACTTACACCTTGAATAATCAATAATAAGTAAGTGAGACTCGTCTAATTGTGCATTTCCTCTGCAAAAGCCCGTTGATCTGGGGGCATCTTATTGGCCTGCATGTTCCAGTCAGACAGTGTTATGGGTGGCTCTGCTCCGTTGGCTATGGAAACGGTACAACTACGTTACCAGACAACCTACACCTGCGCGCGCCACCTACATTCATCTTCAATATTTATTCCTCCTTTCACTAACCCCCTCCCTATTTCTTTTCAGTTCTTGCTGACCTCTTCCAGTACCGTCGGACAGCATGAAGTCTACTATCCTCTCGTTCGGCTTTGCTGCCATTACATCTGCCAATATAATATTTAATCATGTTCCGTTAACATGCAACCAGACCAGTACCCAGATGTATCACGGATGTCTTCGCGGCCAAGATTGCACAGAAACTGGAGAGTAAGTTCGAGGAGTTGCTTCCCTCACAGTCCACGAACTCATCTTGTGACAGGTGTGTAGCAGCAGAGACTATTCGCTATCCCCAGTCCTTCCGCCCTGCTGAAGAGCCAGTGGCAGACGCAAAGCTTCAATTGCGCGACGGTGGATTGTCTACAGATGGTACATGTGGTCCTACACACGGCAACACTGTTTGCGACCCTAATAGTACCAACTATGTCGGCGGATGCTGCTCGGTGTGTTGTGGCATATGACACACAATTCAGGATCGACATGCTAACTGGTTCGTAGCAATATGGTTTCTGTGGAAACACGGTTGAGTGAGTCGAGATAAAAACATTTTCAGATCGCTACTGACCGTGATATCTAGCCATTGCGGTACTGGCTGTGTTTCGGGAAACTGTTTAGCCAGCAGCTCGTCGGCATCTACCTCAGCACCTACCTCAGCACCTACAGGTATAACACCTCGCGGAGATGGTAGATGCGGGAAAGTGAGTACTGTGGATGTGGATGGACCATCTGAGACCACGCTAACATGTGACAGGACTTTGGCGGCGCCACATGCGACCCTGCAGGTGCATATGGAGGTTGCTGCTCGCAATATGGGTAGGTTTCTTTCTTGTCTCGCTCCGCGCTTCCATTCCCAATTACAATCTATTGCCATTTATAATACCATTTAATCACGACACTCATTGGATATCAAGATACTGCGGCACTACCCCAGCACACTGCCTGGTTTCGAATGGATGCCAGAATGGATGTTCCTCGACCTCAACAACCTCATCTACTGCACCAACTACTTCTTCAACAACGCCTCGCACTGATGGGCGTTGTGGCAAAGATTTTGGAGGCGCTACCTGCGATGCCGCTGGCGCGTATGGTGGTTGCTGTTCCCAATACGGGCACGTTTTTTTCATCATACCCCATGATCTTTTCTTAAAAACCAAGGCCCTAACATGAACCCTTAGATACTGTGGAAAGACAGACGGACACTGTCTCGTAGCGAACGGTTGCCAGAATGGCTGTAGCGGAGGCACAGCCCCACCATCTTCTACTACCACCGGTGAGCCCGTGATCGCGCCCGTTACTAGTACACTGCACCCAAGCGCAACTGCAACAGCAGCTGTGACCACAGATGGCTCTTGCGGTACGTCTAATGGGAATACCGTGTGCGGTAATTGGCCAAATGGAAACTGCTGCTCCATGTATGGGTTCTGGTAAGATAACTCTTCCAGAATCATTTTCAGTATTCTAATAACGGAAAGCGGTTCTACCAGCGCTCATTGCGGAGCTGGATGCCAATCAGGAAACTGCCTCTCTGCCCCTGTAGTTGGAGCCCCAGGACCTAGTCCGGCACCACTTGCACCAAATGGAGGCTCGTTCAACATCATCGGGCAAAGTGGTGTACCAGCAATGCACGCAGCACTCATGCCCAATGGACGAGTGATGTTCCTCGACAAGCTGGAGAACTACACCCAGCTTCGTACTGCAAATGGCCAATATGCTATGTCTTCAGAGTATGACCCGGATACCAACACCGTTGTCCCTCTGGCCTATAGCACGAATGCTTTTTGTTCTGGTGGTTCCTTCCTTGCGGATGGCCGTGTGATATCAGTTGGAGGCAATGGGCCATTGACTTGGCTTGACCCTAACATTGGCGATGGCTTCAACGCTATTCGATACCTTTCTCGATCCTCATCAAATGCCGCTCTCAATGGCCAAAGCTGGAGTGAACCTGGCAACAAGCTAGCAAGTGCTCGATGGTATGCATCTGTGCAAACCATGCCTGATGGAACTATCTTCGTTGCTTCTGGAAGTCTTAATGGCCTCGATCCAACTGTCCTCGCAAACAACAATCCAACATATGAAATACTGAGCCCAGGCGCAGTTACGCAAGGAAAGAACATCCCAATGGACATCCTGACTAAGAACCAACCCTACTACATGTATCCTTTCATTCACCTTCTCAGAGATGGTACCCTCTTTGTGTTCGCCTCGAAATCCTCGCAGATCTTCAACGTTCAGTCGAACACAATTGTCAAGGCGCTTCCGGATCTTGCAGGTGACTACCGAACATACCCAAACACTGGTGGAAGTGTATTGCTCCCACTTTCCAGCAAGACAAACTGGGATCCCGATGTCATCATCTGTGGTGGGGGTGCTTATCAAGACATCACTTCTCCTACCGACCCCAGCTGTGGTCGAATCCAGCCTTTGAGCGCAACCCCTAAATGGGAAATGGATGCTATGCCAGAAGGCCGAGGCATGGTGGAAGGCACGCTCCTAGCTGACGGAACCGTTGTTTGGCTCAACGGCGGAAACCGTGGTGCACAAGGCTTCGG